CGTCCATACACACACTCCCATACACAAAGTAAGAAATAAATATAAGAAGATGTGAATTCAAAAAGTAGTAATGGTGATTAGCAGTCTCAACTGCTTACCTGAAAAAAATTATCCTTTTGGGATAACTATTTAAGAATGTAGACAGGCAGATGTGCACTGTAAAGTTTTATGATGCAACAGTTAAATCTTTGTTTTAATGTGTGCACTAAATAAACATTAAAACCATATTATGGGTTCATAGCTTCGTGGGATATGCTTTACTAGGCTTTAAAAACTGGTTTGCTGTCTTAAAAGTTAGCAGGATTATGTTCAACACATATTTAAATCAACTGCCAGGCAAAATGGTATTGAGTGTAAGGGAATGTATTATATATTATTTTTGTTATATTGGATGGAAACTCAGAAGGAAGACTGTGCTGGTTTGGTTTTTGTTACCTTGCTACAAACTAGAGTCACCTAGGAAGAGGGAACCTCAAATGAGGAATTTTTTCCATTGGATCTACCTATGGCCATGTCTGTGAGGCATTTTCTTATTTGATAATTGATACAGGAGGGCCCAGCCCACTGTGGGTGGTGCCATCTCTGGACAGGTGGGTATGTGCTGTTTAAGAGGAGTTGCTGAGAAAGTCAGAGAGAGTAAACCCATAAGCAGCATTCTTCCATGGTCTGCTTCAGTTCCTTCCAGCTTCCTGCTTGAGTGCCTGTCCTGACTTCCCTCAGTGATGAACTGTGACCTGAAAGTGTAAGCCAAATAAACCCTTTCTTCCCCAAGCTGTTTTTGGTCAGAGTGTTTTATCACAGTAATAGAAAGCTAATTAGAAAAAATAACATAAACAGAAATCTAAGAGTCAGAGAGCAGGATTTAAAAGGCACATAAGCCCTTGCCAGGCAAGGGTAAAAGTTAAATAAGGACATAATTTGCTCTTGTCAGGGAATAAGGAAAGCAGTGATACAAATTATTTGAGGCTTTATAGTCTGATTACACATATCCACATGACACACATGTACACTCAGCATGTGATAATGTACTCCCCAAAAACAAACATAGATCTATGATTTGAATGAAATGAGTGATAACATTTCCTAGAGGTTGAATTGAACATACACACCTGTTTCAATAATAACTTTGGTTAGACTTGCTTGGCACAAGCACAGCAGGCTGTCAGGGAAGTGATGAAATTATCAAACTGTCCAGTGATTCAAGATTAGATCTGATGGGGCACTTTAAAAATACACTGTAGGATAGTCTAATGTTGGGAAGGCAGCAAAAAGATGTCCTATGCCAATCTTTCCTGCCTCTAACTACTCATACTTTTCATGAAGTTTAAAAATATAAAATATAATATTTATAAAAATGCTGAAAAGAACAAACTTATTAATATCTTATTATTGAACATGAATACTTTCATTATTCATGGATCTGTTAGCTTGGATCATAGCTATGCCCATATGTTAAAGGCTTGGTCCCCAGCTTGTGGTACCATTGGGAGCTGCTGGACTAACTAAGAGGTGAGGCCTAGTGGGAGGTCATGGGTCATAGGGGATGCACCTTTTATGAGGAGTGTGAGACTCAGGCCCCATTGTGAGCCTCTCTTTCTTTTCCCAGTCATGAGATGGGCAACTTTGCTCCACTAGACGCTTACACCTTTGTTTGCTGCCACTACAAAGCAAGGAGACAAGTGAGTCATGAACTGAAACCTCTGAAACTGTGAGCCAAAGAATCCTTTTTCTATGTGTAAATTGATTCTTTAGGGAATTTGTCATGGCGTAAGAAAACTGAGTAGCACAACTTTGTTCCAGAGACAAAAGAAGTGTAGCTCTGAGTCCTGGTCCTTTCTCTACCTTTATGAAATCATAAATGAAGGAGGAGTATAGAGGCTAGCTTTATATTTAAGAGATGGGTGATAACTTTGTCCTTGAAAGTTAAATCCTAAACATGCACATCTTGTTGTAGTCAAAATTTGAATGATTTCATTTTTCTTCTATAGATATTAATATAATTGAACATAAATATATGATAATGGTAGAAAATAGTACATTCTTTGAAAACTATTGGTTAGTGTTTATAATAAAGGGAGAATTGACTAAGGGGAAGGAACTTCCAGGAAAAGTCACTTTTCATGTTCTCAACTTTGGTAATTGGCAGCCAGATGCATTCTGGTTGATAATTTGATTTGTCTTGTATTTAAAGGCTGTGAATATATAATATAAAATGAATGTAATTGTTTGAGGAGAAAATATTTGATAACTTTTCCCAATACTTTGTTTTTTATGCCGTTTTTCCTTCTGAGTACCTGCCCTACCTGTAGCAATTTACCTTGGTCACCACTGGGAAGCCTTTGTACTTGTCAAACAAATGCACTTCTGTTAGTGGTGGAGACTTCCTGGGATGGTCTCTTACCTTTATCTTACCACTGCCTCAAATCTCAGGAACTGGGCAAACGACCTTCCTCTGTTTTGTGATGTAAATGCATTTTGTATCAAATAGCGTGCTTTGAAAGCAGAGACTTTGACCTTTCAGATAAGCCATGGGTTATCCATGTGCCCACACACTGCTTCTCAGAGGCTGAAAGAGTCTTCCTCATTGTTTCTAAATACTCAAAGCTGTGCAAAGCACAGGCTCACTGATGGACCCTGTGCACCCTGCTTTACGTCAACTTCAGAAGAACTTACCTCATGTTAATGTCTCTTAAAGTCACTTCTCTAAATGTGTGCTTTGTCATATCAAGCTTATTTACATGCAGAAAACAAAGGAAGGCCAGATGCCCAGTTCTTGGAGTTTGCTGTGGTAACAGTGCAAAACTGAATGACCACCCGCATTCTTCTTTGCAGATAGCAATGATGGGGAGATGCTGGCCATGGGGAACATTTGCCATGGTGCCTGGCTCACTGACAGAATGGTCAATAGGCTTGCTGGGTGATGGTCATTTCAAAGAAGGTTAAATCTCAGCACTGCTTCTCTGCATCCCTTTCTGAGCAGCTGGGTTCCTAGTGGCTTCAGCCCCCTGAGGGCTGCAAAGACACAAGTGTGGGGCAAACACATGTAAATTTAATGCTGAAAGAAAAAAGTGCAGGTGTCTGTGTAGCCATATGTTGAATTAGGAGCAAATATATAACTTCTAATGATCCTGAAAATTTTCAACATAATGTATAAAAGTCATCAACTTTTGAAAGCACACAGATCCATGTCCATATCTTATCTTTGTTACTGACTAATATCCTACCCAGGGGAGGTTATGCAATCTCTGAAGCTAAGCTCTTTTCTCTTTTTCTTTTTTTTATATAAAACAGAAACATTTACTCTTTACTTTGGAACCTTGCTTTGCGCTTCATGTAGTGGGCATGTATGTCTCAACAATACCGGTAACAGTTGCCATCTTTGAGTATTGTGTTGGTCATCTTTCTATTACTGTAACAACTTCCTGAAATAATCATTTTTATAGAAAGGAAAGGGTAATGTTGGCTCACAGTTTTGCGAGTTTAAGTCTCTGGGTGGTTGACTTTATTGTTTTTGGACTTGTGGGAAAGCAGTGGTGCAGGGAAGAGGAGGCTGGTCCCAGTCTAGCTGCTGGGAAATAAAACGGAGGAAGAGAAATCTGTGTCTAAATCCTTTTCATAACTTGATTACTTAAGGACGCCCTCCCCCACTATGTCCTACCTCCTAAGGGTTTTACCACCTCCCAGTAGTGGTAGGCTAGGTACTAAAACCTTTGACACATGGGTTTTGGGTGAGAGTTAAGATCCAAAGTAGAGCCAGTATTCCCTACTAAGTCTGTACAATTTGTAACACAGGACTACATGCAGCTCTGTACAATCTGTAACACAGGACTACAAGTTGGAATGTGGTCCAACATATTTGAAAATGACAAGGTCATGTTGCAGGGCCAGAAGTCTGGGCATCCCTTCTGGTCAGGGTAGAAGGTATGCGTTTTATTAATTTGCCTACCAACCAACTTTACAACATAAATAGTATCGTTTGTAACACACAAGGAATTAGAGTCAGTGACATGAAGGAATCTACACAAAGTTGCACAGACAATAAGAACAGAGACTTGACTTTAAAATATTTTATTAATTTCTTTTATTTTTTTGTGTATGAGTGTGTTGCCTGCATGTGTGTAAGTGCACCCGTGTCATAAAATGCCCTCAGAGATCAGAAGAGAGTTTCAGATTCCACTAGAACTGGAGTTACAGATGATTGTTAGCTGCCATGTGGGTGCTGGAAATCAAACCTGGGTTTTCTGCAAGAGCAGCCAGTGCTCTTAACCACTGACCCATCTCTCTAGCCCCCAGATTTGACTTTAAATTAATCAAATTTCTGAGCCCAGGCCTATTACACTCTGATTATTAAGTATCATTTTTCCCTTGGCCTTAAAAAGTGATATTACAGGATGCCCTAATTAATCTTTCCGCCCTTTTTTAAGTCCTTTGACCCTTAATGAGCTGCCAAAGGCTTGATCATTTTGTCCTGTTCTCACTTGTTCAGAATCAGTGGCTCATGCTCCCACTTTTCTTGTTGAATTTCCTATATTCCTAATAGATCTTCCATCCTATTTCAGGTTAGCTTCTGCAATACTGAATTCGATGTAGTAGATGCTATAGCCAATGAAATAATCAGATTCTGTAGAATCCAGCTCCAGGGAGAAAGTAAGATCTAGCCCCTGGGATATGTGAAAGGAGTGTGAGATTCTCCTGGCCACGATTTTTTTGTGTGATGTCGGTGGGAACTATGAGTGCTCAGGGTGGAAATGTTTGACTTGGATGATCTGGCTTTGGAACTTTTAGGGGAATGCTTAGGTCCTAAGCTGGGAATGCTTAGGACCATGTCTGAGTCAGAAGGCTCTGAACCTTGGTCTTACTTGGACAGTTGTCTTTAATTAAACGAGCCCAGGCTGCTTGGATTCTGGCAGATCAGCTACTCAGAAAGCACTAGTTCTTTGGAAGTGTTCTGATTTTCCCAAGCTTTGACTCTGCATCTTGTTTCCATTTTCCATTTTCAGATTTATAATCGCTTAGATACAAATTGCTGTGGATTCAGACCTCGCAAGGAAGATGCTTGCGTACATAACAGATTGAGGCCAAACTGTGATGACCAAAACTCTGTGACTCTGGCACACATTATCCAGAGAACACATGATCCAAGGCATTTGGTCTTTATAGACAATAAGGGCTTCTTTGACAGAAGTGAAGACAACTTAAACTTCAAATTGTTAGAAGGCATCAGAGAGTAAGTTTTCTGTTTGTTTTCTCATTTGGTTTGGAAGTAAGATCTCACTCTTCAGTCTAGGCTGTCTTAGAACTCACTATATAGTCCAGGCTGTCCTTCAGCTTGAAATTATCCTCCTGTCTCAACCTCCAGAGTGCTGGGATTACAGGAAAGAGTCACCATACCCGGAATCAAGAGTAAGTTTTATGATGGTGTGGCATCCTTGGAATATCACATATATGTTAAATGATTAGAAAGGTTCTAAGAAAACTCGCACCTTATGTTTGATAGATTTAACCCTTAAATAACCTGTAAATGTGAATTTGGTAATGGAGATCCAAGGAAGTGAAACCATCCCCCAAAGCAGTTAGTACGTCCAACAACAGCCCACCCATACAAAGCTCCTGCTATATTTTGCATTTACTGCCTTGGCCAGCCTTCCTTGTGAAAACCCATGTGGGTACATTTGGAGGGATGCAGGGATATCATGAGTAGGAACTGGCAGACAAGGGGTAAGCAGGTGGCAGAGACTCTGCTATTGGGGCACAGGACTGGACAAGAAAGGAACAGATACCCGAATTTAGAATAAAGTATTTGTCATGTCAGTAGAACTAATAGTCATGACAAGATGTTCAAATTCACGATAAAGTGAATGTCTTATGAATACAGCAGGAAAAGAGATCTGGAGAGTAGAACACAGGATCAGAGGGCGACTGGCTGTTTAATTTGGGTAGGAGGACTTTTGAGTACTCGGAAATCTTTTCAGTTAGGCATAGACTATGGGGGGTGGGTCTTGAAAACTAGGAAGGAAGGGCTGTAGGGGCCAGTCAAAGAATCACTGCTGTAATCAGGATTGGCTAAGAACTCAAGAGAGACCTCAAAAATTTGGGAGGCATCTGAAAAGTCTTAGAAAAGATACAGAGTGAAGAGAGGACCCAAGAGAAACTAAAGGAGTTCTGCACTGTGGAGGTTAAAACAGTGGGTGTAAGGACACACATGATCGTACACACAGTGCACAGAGAGGAGAATGGGATGTAAGAATGATGCGAACCAGCTATAAAGTCAGCAATTCTACCTTGGTTTTGGAAATCGTGACTAGATTTCACAGCAGTTGCCCCCCCGCCCCGCCCCACACTCACTTTAGTCAGGAATCATATTTCCCAAGGAAGTGGGGTAGGTTGGAAGCTTGAAGGTGGAGCAATACCAACCAAGTGGAGCTAAGCCACTGCAAGAAAAAATCCCCCAAAGTCTGAAGTGGATGGTAGAACTCAGCTTTTCCAAGTCCAAGCCTGTTGTTTTCTCTTTTATTTCTTGAATATTCATTAATATTTATTTAACTTTTATTTGTGTTTGGAGGCCATTACCCTCCTTCAGACTGGGGGGTGACTCAGTATTAGTGCAGTTGCCTAGCATGCATGAGGCCCTGGGTTCCAGCCCCAGGACCAAAACCAAAAGCAAAACCAGAAAAGCCACAAAAAGTGAAAAACAGGTCATACTGTGAAGCATATTTCCGTTGTTTTTTTTCCTGACTTTCTGACTTAATTAATGCAAATTTTATACACTTTTAACATTGAAAGTAACATTCTTCTTGGCGTCTCAGGAGCTTTTGCTTCATCGTCTCTCTGCTGATTCCATTTCTCACCTATCTTTGTGAAGTGAAGGTGGAATATGTAGCAGATTCTCTTTCAAGTGTCTAAGTTCAGGAAAATTTATGCAAGGAAAATTTACATTCCTAAGACGTCACTTACTGAAATGATACTGCATCACTTAAATTTCCTTGTGGAGTTGAGAGTGCCTGGAGCACCTGTCTTAAACATTCACATAAATATGAATGTTCTTATTTGTTCTTTCAAAGAAGATTAAACCTTACCCACATTATGAGGAGAAATGGGTTTAAGGCCAAACCTTCTTTGAATATATAATTCACATATTAAGACGTAAAAATGAAGACTGTTAATCTCAGATCCATGCACTGAATATTCCTATTTATCAAGGCAATAAAAAGGCCAGTAATAGAGTAATATTTTTGTTTTCCTTTATGAACAAATTAGCCACCAAAGAAACTGGTGGTTTTACCACTTTTACCTCAGGCATTCTTCTTCAGCTAAATTAGTTGAAAGGCTATAGAAATTACAAATAATGGATTATTAATACCTTATACAGCAAAAATGTTACTTAGTTAATACTATAGCCCATAAGATCATACAGTTCAGGTCTTTAGGGAACTCAGAGCACATAATAAGCCTTATTAGTACCACACTTCTCAGATTCATTAAGCATGTCGAGTACCATGATGTTTGGTCTTCCAGCGACATCAGAACTCTGGGTCCTGGATCCACACATTCTGTGTGCTCTTCCATCCGTGGACCTTCAGAGTGTGGCTTGGGGTTTCAAAATGTGCTCTTTAAATAGCATGTAGTTTTTAAGGTAAAATGAATTTATTGAAAATTACTATCTAACCCCAATATTTGTATAATACTTTAATGAGGGTTGGAGGAGGCCAATCTGGGGATATGGCAGAATAAAATCTATGATTTAAACTGAAAATTTTGCTAAGCTCTTCAGACATTTTGTATGCTAGGCTCTGGCTCTGTTCTTTCTACGTGAAGAGAAAGAAGTGCAATGTACTCTCTCAAGATAATTCAGCCAGACTCTTAACTGGCCTTCGATTTTCCACTGCGCTCTCTTTTATTGAATGCCCTGGCTCTGAAATTTCTGTTTTTCTGACATTATTTGAAAAAAATTGTTGGAAAGGTTGTGGCTCACAGCTTTGGAAGTTTTGGTTGATAACCAAATAGTTCTGTTACCTTGAACCTGTGGTGAAAAAAAATACACTATGGTAGATGAAGATGGGGAGGTTCTCTTCACTGCAGTCAGGAAATGGAAGAGGAATGGATAGGGCTGCAGTATCCACTTCAAGGTATGTCCCAAAGTCCTGAAACCACCCACTGGGCTCCACCTCCTGAAGGGGCCACTGTCTCCCAGTTGCCTTAGGAACTGAGTCTTTAATGTGTGGACATCTGGGGAAATTCAGGGTCTAAACTTCAGCTCTACATAACACTCCACTTAAAACACTCTCAATCACCAGAATTCCAAAAGTATAATCTGAATCAGACGCAATTCTTCCTCAATTGCACTTTTTTTGAATGATTCTCCTCTCATTTTACAGCACATTTGTGATTACTGTATTCTAAACTCAGTTGTGTGACTTCTGTACCGAGAGATTATTTTACTGAAACTGCACACATTTTGTGTCTCCCATTTTTTTTTTTTTTTTTGCATAAAGTCTCACCTTGACACTGACAAGGTCAGAGTAAAAGGCTTTCTATAGGAGAAATGGAGTTAAGAGTGAGGTAAATAATTTTGCTGACTTAACACAATTTTTTAATTCTGAGTTGCCCTTTGCCAGTCCGTAATGATCCAAAGTAAGATCTTAGTATGTCAAGTTCTGAATGGTTTAGAAAATTTGGTTCACATAAAACACATTTTTTCTTGAGTATTACTTTTGGCAAAAACTGTTTAGCAGTGACAAAATTGTTTTGGTTTTTGAAATCCCATTTTGTAGTGTGATTTATGGTAGGTTAATGAGGAAAGAGCAATCAGGGGAAGGGAATAATATTTCTAAGCAATTGCCAAGAATGAAATATTGTGTTATCGTTTCAGATTTCCCGAATCTGCAGTTTCTGTTCTGAAGAGCCAGCACTTACGGCAGAAACTCCTTCAGTCTCTGTTTCTTGATAAGGTTTACTGGGAAAGTCAAGGGGGCAGGCAAGGAATTGAAAAGCTTATCGATGTAGTAGAGCAGAGAGCCAAAATTCTTATCACCTACATCAATGCACATGGGGTCAAAGTATTACCTATGAATGAATGACAAACAGAGCTTCTACTCAGAGTGCGACACGTGTGCTTTTTTAAAACAATCAAGTACATCAACCTCAAGTTCTCCCAGGAGTGAGGCAGTATAGATGGATATGTGCATTCAGTCCAGTGTATATGATAAACCTGAGTTGAAAATGTTTGCAGAGTTTAGAGGTATTCCAGACTTAAGCAGATTCAGAAAAATATATTGCTTACAAAATGCTTGTTTATATTTTTTCCTAGAACTCTGGCATGTATTCTTATTACACAATAGCCCAAATTTTTATTCCCACTAATCTTTAAATTATTTTCATGCCATTTGATGAAGCAATATAAACCAGAGGCTCCGACTCTTCTAATAAACCACACTTAATGTTATTTGACTGATTTGACTGTACTGTTAATGGGTAAGTTTATCGACATTCTTCTGTTGCTGATTATTGAATAGCTCTCCCAATACTACCCAGAGGCAATTCTACATTGGAAAATCAAGGCATGTGGTGTGCGAAAACATGAGTCTCTAAATACATTCTCAACAGAAATAGAAGATAAATTGTAAACTGCCGGTATATTTTCTATAGTGTCTATAAATAATCAGCTATCACTGAGAAGCAAAATTTCCATTTTCCATTTCTTTTTAGAAATCTATTGTCAGCATAGAAACAACCACATCTAACAAATGATATATAAGTTAGCTTTGCTGTCTAAGTTTTGAACTGACTTATGGCTAGTGGTTGAGAAAACTAAGCAGTTGTAAGGCATCATGTTACCTGTTTGAAAATGTACTGCCAAGTGTGTTCCTCCCTCCACCTCACAAATGTTGAGATTACAGGAGTGTGCCTCCATGCCTGGTTTGTGTAAGGCTGGGTAATCGAACTCAGAGCTTTAAACATGCTAAGCAGGCACTCTATGACTAAGCTACATCTCCAACCTATCTTTTTTAATGACTGCTTTAAAAAATTGTCATTTTATAAAGGGTATGCTATCATTTCTGTATTTTTTTAATCACAGAGGATTTTTTTTTCCTGGGTCAGGTTTAATCTGATGTAATTGATATTATGTAGATATTGGCAATAAGTCTAGATATTGAATGTGCTTAAATATATTATGTAGATGAATCCAATATGAGATATACAAATGAAACAAACTAAAGTGAACAGTTAGTTCTCCTTGAGGGCAGCACATGACTAGAGACTATTTGACAATAATTGGGCCAAATGAAGCCTCAGGTGATTTTCCCCTGAATCCCCCTACCAGCTTCTTAATTGGGTTGGAAGGACTGAGACACAGAGTGTTCATATGTTGAGTCTTCATGTCCTTGGAAAATCTTCAAGGTCATCACATATCACACGTACTCATGGTGGTTTTTCTCCCAATCTCAACTCTCCTACCCCTTATTTAAAAGCTGATTGATTCTCCAGGTTTGGTTGTGTGTATCTGAAATCTCAACACTCAGGGAGGCTGTGGCAGAGATTTGGGATTTCAAGACCACCTGGGTTACATAGCGAGATCCTGTATGAAATGTACCCTCCCCTTCAAAAAACCTGATTGTTGACATTGTCATTCTTTGGAAATTTAAAAATAAAAAATCATAAACTTTTAAAGTGTGTCTTGTCTTCTCTTTTCTCAATTGTCATTCTTCACATGCACACATTTTGTATGTTTTGATAGAGTAATTACTATCAGTGTGAGCTATTAAAGACATTACAAGCCGGGTGCCATGGCACATGCCTTTAATCCTAGCACTTGGGAGGCAGAGGCAGGCGGATCTCTGTGAGTTTGATGCCAGCCTGGTCTACATAGCAAGTTCCAGGCCAGCTGGAGCTACAGAGATACCCTGTCTCACAAAGACCCCCCAAAATAAATAAAAAATAAATAAGACATTGCAGTATAGACTAGATTTTAGAAGAAAGATGTTTGTGTAGATTCTAATTAATACAAAGCCATCAAATTGTCAAAATAACATGTTAAGTACAAGGGAATGTAGACCAAGAAGAAAGGAATTGGCTGATGGTCTAATTACAACTTTTCAAGGTGCACACCCAAGCATTGCTTTTTATCGTTATGTGCTGCCCCTGCCTTTGGAGTGTTGACTGTGGCCCAGTCTCTCCCTCAGTTTCCCCTGTGGCTGAGTGTGCTTGTGAGTGCCTGTGAGTCTGTCCTTTGCCTGCTGTCTATGACTTTTCTCTCATGAATCATTTTTCAATTAGCTTAACAAACACTTGGATACTTACATTTGACTTTGTGCTGTTATTTTTGGCAAGTTATCTCATGCCCTGTCAAGGTGACCTATTTACATTTCAAGACTTTTATATTTCTGAAAAATTTACTATTTTAATCCAAGTTATTAATGCTGGGGATTTTAGGCTCTTTAGAAATGTGCATTCTTATGTCTTAAGCTACCCAGCATCTGGGCAGCCTGGCCTCCCACAGGTGGGTCTGACTGTATGTTCATCTAGTTATTCCAAAATGCTTCATACTAAATGAAAGACTTAGGAAAACATGCTTACTTTGGTTACATTTACTTTTTTTCCTTTCGATTTTTGAGACAGGTGCTCCCTGTGGCCCTAGCAGGCCTAGCACTCGCTATGTAGACCAGGCTACCCTTGATTTTACAGGGATTTGACTGTCTCTGCTTCTTGAATGGGGATTAAATTTTACATTCACCTTTTAAAATTTTCATTTGTCTTATATTTATGTGTATATGCATGTGTCTATGTGTATATACGTACATGCATGCCCATGGGAGTCAGAAAGGGACATTGAAAGCCCTGGAGCTGGAGTTATAGGCCATTGTGAATCATTTTATGTGGGTTCAGGGAACCAAACTCAGGTCCCCGGGAGAGCAGTAAGCACTTTTAACAGCTATGACATTTCTCCAGTCCCTACACACATCTTTAAAAAGTACAATTTGTTGAATAATCAGTGAATAATTGATGGTCACTATTTTTGAATAATAACCGAAAGCCAAACTCTTCATTCTGATTAGTAATGTTCTTCTCTTATTGGAATGATGAGAATATCTTGTGCATTTCAGACTGTTCAGATTGTGCTGTTATTTGGTTTACATTAGCAGACCTAAAATAGAACAATTTACCCTGGTAAACATGTAAGAACGACTGTGTGATTTACTTTCTTTTAGCTGATATGAAAATGAATGTGTACTTAAAACTTGTAATAAAATGTTAGAAGCTAAAATGTGTACTTTTTTTGTAAACTCCTTTTATATGGGTTCATTTTCAAAAGTTAAGTACAGCAGTTACTCCCCTTTGGGTTAACCCATTCAGGTCTCTCTGCAGTATACTATCCTAAGCTTTATTGAACAAACATCCAGCTTAAACTAGGGGGAAAACCCAAAACAATAGAACACAAGAATGTATTTGTTACTTCATCCATGAAAAAGACAAATAGAAAATTTTTTTTTTTTTTTTTTGAGTTAGGGTCTCACTATGTAGCCCTGGCTCTCCAGGAGCTTTCTCTGTAGACCAAACTGACCTTAAACACAGGCGGTAGATAAAAAGTAGCCATATGATGAATAGGGTTGATCAGGAGAAAGCAGAATTTATTAGCAAAGGAACACATGGGACAGATTTCCTTCCGGGCAAGGAAAATGTCTGCCTGGGTTATGAGCTGGGGTCTTTTTAAGGGGGAGGCTTCTGCTTCATGCGGAAGGCTGAAAGATGTATTTTTTTAAAGTTGGGTGGGGGAGAAGTGGGAGAGCGGGACTGTTAAAACCTGTTCTCTTTAGAGATCAAAGGGGAAGCCTGCTGTGTTGGCCAAACAGTGGAGAAAAGTCTGCTTCTCTTGACTTCAAAGACCAAGGTGCTTATCAACTCAGGTCCCTTTTCTCAGGAGCTTGAGAAGTCTGTGAGACCCTGTTGGTGAGGGGGTGGGGCTATCTGAACCTTAACAACAGGGACCTGCCAGCTTCTGCTTTCCTGGTACTGGGAATAAAAGCATGCTCTACTGTGCCAGGTTCCAACTGAGTCTCCACAGATGCTTTACAGTGGGCGTGGTGGCATGTGTTGGAATCCCAGCATTTAAGAGGCTGAAGGATAGTGCCAGTGTAAACCAGCCTGGTCTATAGTCAGACTGTGTCTCATAAAAAACACTCCTCTTCCCCCTAAAAAACCTCATAAATTAAGAACTTTCATTTATGAGAGCTACTTTGACTTGTCAGGAAAATTACCTGGAATTCGACAATAGCCTAAAGCAATTTTGTATTCTTTGATGCAACGCTGGGCTGGATTTTCTATTTATTGACTTTTTTATTGATTTTTTTTTTTTTTTCATCATTTTGAGACAGGGTCTCCCTGTAGTCCCAGTTGGCCTGGAACTCACTATGCAGACCAGACTGGCCTTGAACTCACAGAGATCTGCCTGCCTTTGCCTCCCGAGTGCTGGGACTAAAGGTGTGCACCTCCATGCCCGGCTGTGATTTTTTTTTATATATTGACTATTTAACAGTGTTGTAGGGCAGAAGTAGTTTGTAGATTTACATCCCATAGAAATACAACTAATTTTTTTTTTCTGGTGGGAGAACCAGCCTTAATGTTTTCAGTTTATTACCAAGTTAGCCATTAACCAATTTTATCTCCACTACAACTATCTAATTTTGATATTGCCTATAAAATTTACTTTTATACTTTTACTTTTAAATGGATTCACCATCTTACTGGTTCCTGTGGTTACTGATTATTTTAATAAAATCCTTTATAAATATTTATTTTTATATTTGCCAAAGAATTTTATCTTTTTGAAAATTTTACTTTAATAAATTTCTGACTGCAACAATAAAATTTTAGTTTCTTTTAGTTTAGAGTCATTATTTTAAATGTTTAGACATTTACTTGACCAAACTCTTAGGTGTGTACTGCTATAATTTTGTAACTGAAACAAACTGACTTACTAGAATTACTGATCTAGAATTTCACTACTCTAATTAACATAGGAAATTAAAGAGCCTAAACTCTAATAGATTTTATCATCTACCAAGATGAAGAAGGACTCCCAACTCCATGAACCTGAAGGCTTTATAGGGGCATATTCATGTATAGTAATAATTTTAGTTCTTGTGAACTTTCAGAGACAGAAATAAATAGAAACTTTTGATAATTCCTTGATATTGTTGCTCCGGAATCTATCATCATATATTCTATGCTAGGCAGTGCAAATGTTCAAATTAGTAAACACATGCTTAGTTTATTTACCCTCAATTGGGACCCAAAGTTAAGCTTTAAATTCTGTCATTAGTAACAGAAGTTTTGGAAAGAAATTCTGAAGTTCATCCAAAATTAGAAATAAACTTTAGACTTAAAGGAATTTTGGACTTTTGGTGTTTTTGATTTTGTTTCTTTTGTTGACTCTTACTGTTAAGAGAGATTATTCAGAGTCCTCTTATACTGCAGCTGGAAAAACACAAATTTCATAAAGCCTGTTTCTATCACTATGTTCCAGTACAAGAGTTGTACTCATAATGAATACCTTGATTAGTAGAAAGTTCATTAACTTGTGTTCTGAGTTATAACAATGACATTATAATTCTTATGCATGCTGGATCCCTTTAGGAGCTCCAGATAAGCCATCTATTCAACAGTTCTGTATATGATCTCAGTGGCTCTCAGACCCATGGGTACCCATATTCGGAACTCTTCCCTCCAGTGTCTGCAGCCTCTTAGGTTAAGAATTCTTGCTTAGAGGGTTGAAGAAATGGCTCAGTGGTTAAGAGCACTGACTGTTCTTGTGGAAGACCTGGGTTTGCATCTCAGCACCCACATGGTGGCTAACAACTGTCTGTAACTCCAGTTCCAGGGGATCTGACGCCCTCTTTTGTCCTCCATGGGCACTGTATGACACCAGTGCACTTATACACAAGCAGGCATAACACTCATATACATACTCATAAATTAACAAATAAAAAAATTAAAAAACAATGATTGCTTAGGACAAGCTTGATAGTGCTTGCCTTTAATCCCAGCACGTGGGAGGCAGAGGCAGACAGATCTCTGTGAAGTTGAGGCCAGCCTGGTCTACATAGCAAGTTCCAGGCCACCCTGGACTATAGAAAGAGACCCTGTCTCAAAAAAACCCAAACCAAAAGCTTGCTTTCCAGCAAATTTAAGAAGGTGGGAGATTGTACTACATATTACATCTGCAGATAATAGATTTAAAAATTATTTGTATAAAAAATTGGAAACTTTGATTTTGGAAAATAGTTAAGAAACTACTTTTTTCACAAATGAAAGCTGAGAAACCATTTATTTCAGCAATAATTAAATATTTTCAGTCCATCCCATCAGTTTCCAATTCATTGATAATCAATCGTAGAATGAAGTCACTTGGTTTACTTGATTTAATCCTTGAATCTATTAAAATTGTGTTATCTGCCTTATTTAATCTTATTTAGAAAAGGCTATAGCCACTTTAAAATGCTGTTTTAGAGTATGAGAGAAGCTAAGTTAATGCATGATACTAGGATAAGCTTACCCGATTATTGTTAATAGTTTACTGGACATTAGTAATGTTCCTGCATTTAACAAAACAATTTTCTAAATAAATGAGGAAACTTTTGCCAATGGAGTTATTTCCTTGACATTACTAAAAA